TCTGACACCCAGTGAAACATTATTTGGGTATGTCAGAGGAGTCTTTCCTCTGTCAACCCTAGTAGTGGCACTTGGAAGAGTGTTGTCTACATATAAAGTCCCCGCAAAAATTTGCTTGTAATCTAGATGGTGACATCCCTGGCGGTGACTGAGTGGGTTGCAGAGTAACCTTTGATAAAGCTTGATCTAGCATATTTTGCATAACATTTTGTTGCTTACGGAACATGAGGGTTTGTTGCTCATGCAACATATTTTGCATAGCCAGAATTTGCTGATTGTTCAAATGTTGAACATAAGACACCCAATCAGCGGGTGCTTGGGGGACTTCCTCTGCATTTGGCATGGCAGGTGGTGAAATAGTTTCCCCCACCGGTATTGAAGATACTTGGGGCTGTGAACTCGCCATATGGATCCTCCCAATGATTCGGCCGGATCTCAATCGTATGAAATTTTCTTTTGACGTAGGATCAGCAATCTTGCCTTGCTCCCACTGTGGTCGCCAAATTGTTGATGCAAAATTTCAACAATAAAAAGTAAAACCCGAAAATAGAAATTATCTTCGAATTTGATAAAATAAAATGCCTGAGATTAAGAATCTCTAGACACCGTACGATACATAAGTAAAATAAGAAAATAAATACTACAGATTGTAAAAGTAAAATGGTGATCCCCAAAAGAAATTCACTGAATTTGATGTCGATTGAAGATGGTTTCTTTAGGTCATGAACAAACCTATTTAAAACCTATGTCAACCGCCACGACTAGGTCGTACCTTTATATCCGCTCGCCGGTTGTAACTTCTCTCAACCGTCTCAGAACCGCTTTTTGTCCGACCAGCACACCTGCTGCTACGTCTCCTCTTGCCCGCCTTCCACTTGTTCGATCCGTTCGCCGGTTGTAACTTTCCTTAACCGTCTTTTCAGATGGATCATAAATCACCATCCGACTGAGAAACCGTCTGGACCATCCACTGACTGAACCTACCGAATAACCCAACGATTGACCAACCGACCAATCCAGATACTAACTTGTCGCAAGGCCAAACGACTAATTAGTTGCCCACTCGAGTGACCACCATTCAGTCCCTTCAATTGGCTGAACAACCATTCGTCCAGACGATTTATCGGTCGCCCAATCAAGCGACCACCATCCAGTCCCTTCAAACGGCTGAACAACCATTCGTACAGACGATTCATTGGTTGCCCAATCAAGCGACCACCATCCAGTCCTTTCAAACGGCTGAATAACCATTCGTCTAGACGACTCATCGATCGCCCAATCAAGCGACCAACTAACCGCCCTTTCAAGCGACTGAACTACTATTTGACCAAATGACCGGCCAATCGATCAGTTGATTAACAGGTCGCTTAATTAAGAGACCAATTAACAGACCTTTCTTCGCCTGACCAATTAATAGACCTTTTCTCTTGTCCGACCTCCGTGTCTGCCATCTCATCTTTCTTCGCCCGACCTCCTTTTGACCGACCTCCGTATCAGCCGTCTCATATTTCTTCTCCCGACTTCCTTTTGTCCGACCTCCGTGTCTGCCCTCTCATCTTTCTTCGCCCAACCTCCTTTTTTCCGACCTCCGTATCTGCCATCTCATCTTTCTTCGCCCGACCTCCTTTTGACCGACCTCCGTATCGGCCGTCTCATCTTTCTTCCCCCGACTTCCTTTTTTGACCGACCTCCGTATCGGCCGTCTCATCCTAATCACAGGTTTCTTCTGAGAAAACCCATTTTTTAATAACACTTGGGCCGTTTGGCTTATATTCAGACTCATTTAGGATCTCACTGTCATTAACAGGCCCATTGAACTATACACCAGTCCACAGCCTTAGGCTCATTCTCGAAAACCCTGCACATTGGTTTTTTCTTACTCAACAATATTAATAAGTAATCTCATAAGTCAATTTAGAAATATCTGCTAATGCACGCTAACTTTCAAGAACATGAATATGATGTAATCTATGAGTAATTGTTTGATCCAATTACAAAATTCTGAATATATACTTTAATACTTATGTTTACAATAATTATACCAGTATACGAATATAGATACTTTCATACACAAACATGTATCTTCATATTTGGATATGTATACCTTTGGTACTAATAAATATACTCTCTGAGCATCACAACATACTCATATTGTCATTGTAATAACTTTGTCGCAAAAATTAAATACTCGTATATATAAATGCGATTTACAGGGGAATCCAAATAATTAAATAGTGGTCTCATACACAGATTTATGTTCAATATACAATATTCCAAAAATAAAAAGAAATTCTAGCCACGAGACGACAAACCAGAAATACCTACTATGGAGCCTTCTTGCAACTTTTTCGGTTGTGTCCTAGACGGACCGTAACGATCATATTTTTTAGACTGTTCACTTGATGCTATTCAAACCACCTTTTTTAGCCGGCTGGTTAGACAAAAGTCAATAACCTTGCTGAGTTCATCCAACTTTTCCACGACTCAGCTACATTGTTATTTATTATCCCCCAACGAGTTCATTGGAATAGAGAATTCGTCCAACACTGGGTCTGCAATTGTGCAATAAAGTTTTGGGCAAATGACTTAGTCTTCACAACATACATTATATCCTATTCAAATTCCGTTAGGGAGCCTAACCAACTTTGTTGGAAACGGACGTCTCTCAATTCTTGTTATATATCGGATATCTTTGCATTACCTATACGAAATGTAATTATCTTGTTGTAAATATTATAATTACTAACATATATTCTATACATACCTGAATGCGAAAGTTGTCCACTAGATGTCAAAGACAATATGCGTGGTGGGCTCTGAGAAATATGGCGGAGATGGACTTTAAAAATTCTCAATGTCTATAAAAGAAAAAAAGTGTATTCTTTCTAATTAAATTGACCATCAACGTGAAAAATATACTTTAACCCTCAACAAAATTATTTCTAAATTTTCATCATTTTCGAAAGATACTGCTGGAAATCAACAAAATTTTAATATTATCAAATATATAAGCACATGAAATAAATATCAAGGTTCATAGATCATTAATTATAGTATATATCAATAAAATCAGGGTATTTTCAAACAAATGCAGCGTACAATATCATACGATATGGGTATATGATTAATAAATATAAGTATATTGCACTAGAAAAAGGTTTCCCATGAAAATAGTATGCAAACTAACCTGAAATCGCAAAAATCCCCACAAAATTTTTTCGTATACATACCATTCTATCGAAATGTCTTACTGCTAGAAAATCTCACCATTTTGTCTATACTTAAAAAAAATAATCTCCAAGAATCAAATAAAAACATCGATCGATGACAAAAATTATTTTCAAGAATACAGTTACTTATAATATCAAATAATGGTGAAGACGATCCATCATACCTGAGTTATGGTCGTCATCTTCAACAAAACATGGCGGGAATCGGTTTTGACAAAGAATGACCCTCTTCTGTGAACCCTAACAACACTACTGTAATCAACATGTAAAACTATCGCACCAAAAGAACACCACAATCTAGAATTGAACCTTCGTCGCATTATCCGTTTCTCTCTTGCACCTGAGATTGAGATTTGGTTTCAGATCGTCTTCTCATTACTCTCGCACGGAAAAACCGAATACACAAAAAATCGCAAACAAAAATGATTCTAGTTTCAAATAAGGGCAATATGGAAAAGAATTGAGGGGTAGGGAGTTAACAACAAAAAATTTAAAAAAAACAAAGAGTGCATTGTTCATAAAATATATCTGGGGACTGAATTTAAAATTGAAAATAAAGATGGGTATTTAAACCTAATTCTCTGTATTTTAAATTATAACTAAATTATTAATACTTTTGTAAATTTTTAGTCTTGCCTTAATTAAGACATAACACATCCACAAAGCTGCTGTGGTTTTTAATCATTTTTTTTTTTAATTTTAAATAAAAAGCAAGTTGCGACTTTACAATTATTTTTTTTAAATAAAAATTAAATGTGCAAGCGCATTAACTATAAAATTAATTTTTAAATAAGACATAAACTATAAATTATTGCTTTATATGAAAAGGAGATACGGTAGTTTGCACCTCTACTATAAATTATTTTTTAAAAAATAAAAAATAGGGGTACAAACAACATCACTTTGACTATAAAATGAATTAATAAATAAAGCTTGAATTATAAATAATTTTTTAAACAAAAAATAGACCATGTGATTGAGATCTCTATTATAAATTTTTTTTTTAAATAAAAAATAGAGGTACTAGCAATCGCCCATTAGCTATAAAATTAAAAATGGAGGCGTTATCAATCATGTTTTAATTATAAAATTATTTTTAAAATAAAAGCTATAGTCCGTGTGTCTATTATATATTATTTGTTAGGTTAAATTATACAAAATTCACGTGTGGTTTTATAAAATTGCACAAAATTTCTCATACTTTTAAAATTGAGTCAAACTCCCTTATAGTTTTATAAACTCTGTGTCTAACTCCCTCGACGATCTTTATTTGACTGTATTTGACCTAAATGCGCTCAAACTGTGAATAAATTTTAGAATCTCAATTTCTAAATCTCTAAAATTACATATATATATTTATTTTTCTTATATTTAGCTCCAAAAAAAGTAAAAATAAATTCTTAAAACCTGAGAAAAATAACTATTTTTTAATATATTTACTATTTTTTAAAACTAAATATAAAAAAAAATAAATATATTTATAATTTTAGGGATTTAGAAATTGAGATTCTAAAATTTATTAGCAGCTCATTTAAATCAAATATTTTAAGTAAGGATCGCTGAGGGTTAAACGCGGAGTTTATGAAACCACGAGAAAATTTGACGCAATTTTAAAAATATAAAAAATTTGACGCAATTTTACGAAATACAAATAGATTTTGTACAATTTAACCTATTTTTTAAAATAAAAAATGATGCGTCTGTTCGCACCATTATTATAAAATTATTTTATATTTTAGCTTCGTCGAAATAATTGTAATTTTTAGAAACCCCTAATTTCATTTTCTTTTTTCTCTTCGTAAACCCCTAATTCTTGCTCTGTTCACTCTCCGACGGTGTCCGTCAACACTTATTTCTTTGTTCGATTCAATGGTGCTAATGAATTTCAATGGCGCAGGTGTTGGCTTCGGTGAGTGTTTTAATTTTTCTTAGAATCAGAACTTGAATGCAATTTCTTCATATTTGCGCGGATAATCTTTTGTCTCTTCGCCAGAATTTGTGTTTCGAATTGTTCTTTTCCTTCCTTACTGAATGAGTTTGCTCGTCTCTAGGTTTCGGAATCGGCTGTGAATTTTGAGAATTTAGCTTGAGATTTCTTGTTCGATTTCATTTATTCGCATTCTCATAATAATTTAACCGGACATTTTTTCTGCACTCCATTAGAAAGTAACACTTGGGGGTTAAACTTATTTACAGGCTATAGATGCTAAAATTGAACAATGGTCTGTGGGGAAGAAAGGAAACATCCGTTCACTGCTGTCGACCCTGCAATATGTAAGACTGTCTTCGATCTGCCAATTTCCCGTTCACTGCTGTCTGTTCTTTTGGAATTTATCTACACAAAATTTTCAAGTAAGAAACAACAAAAGGCTTGCCATTAATTCCTCAATTCCAACAGGTTCTATGGCCCGGAAGTGGATGGAATCCAATACCACTCGTTGAACAGATCGAAGAAAATTCAGAAAGTTTTACTGCGCTTGCATCCCGATAAGCTGCAGTAGTGCATGTTTAGGAACAGGTAAAACTAATGCTTTGGTTTTATATATATATATATATCTCTATATATACACAATATATCCGTTAGATTAATTTTTAATCAATTAATCAATTCTTCATGTTTTACTTTAAGGTTGTGTTTGTTTGGAGATTTGGATTTTGAGTTGAATTTGAATAGTAAATTCTTTTAAATAAAATAATTGTATGATGTGATATAAATAGGTGTTGATATGATATTTTTAATGTAAAATTAATTTTTAGTATAATATAAAAAATAAAAAATAAATATTTGATTTGATATTTTTAAAAACAAAAATTGATGAATAGTAAATTTTTGGGAGAATCTACTAAACTAACACACCCTAAGAAAAAATGTATAAAGGTATTTTCTACTTCAAAGTTGAATAATTGATTAATTGATTATATTTCTAGAATCACAAAGCATAAATAATCTTATGCTATTCAATTTTTGTAGGAATATTAAAAGATTATTGAAGAATTCATCTCAAGAACATTGTTGTAAGTAATGCGCGAGTTAAATAAGATGTTGTATCTTTTATACCAATTTTGAGTGCTTCTTTATTGAAATTCTTTTTCAATCTTAACTTGATTTTAGATTTCTTTTTACAAGTAATTATATTTTGTCAACCAATAATTGCTTTTTGGTTTAGTTTGTGCGATGGTTATGATGATATGGGTATTTTGAGCTTTGAATTTACTTCTACGACAACATTCTCTTATCATTTTGAATGCGTTATGGTAATGGGACAACAGGTTGTCACTTTTGAGGTGATGTAGCATATGATGATAACAGACTAAAAAAATGAGAAACAAACACTTCTATTATGAGGAGTAAGGAACACCTATACTCCAAATCTCAAATCTCATTTATAGAGTAAAAGTCTGGTGAACAGAAAAGGCGTTCAATAGAAAATGTACGCCACGATCTCAAAGGATCAAAGTCATAACAATCAACACATGAATCAACAGTTGAGGAAAGCACCGTGTTCACACCGGAACACTTACAAACCTTAACCGTTGAATAAGAGAGAAGAACAAACTGAAGGTTTAACAATACAACCAATATATGTAGCAATCTTCAGTAGTATCGATTGCCTCTGTGGTGCTTTCCTTTTATTCTCGTTCACCAGAATCACACAGCCTTAAGCCATTCCAAATTGAACCAATAACCTGCGGAGAGAGACGAAGTGATAGAAAACTAGCAAAACAATGTGAGAGTAGTCAAGCAAGACCAATGAAGAGCAAATCGATACGGAGATCGATTCTAGTGCGAATGAGATGAGGCGGAGTGAAGCGATTCAAATAACCGCGTGTAAAAGTGCACAAGTGAACGAACAGTGTATGGAAGAGTGAGTAATGAAGATGAAGTAGTTCGCTGTGCACTGTGTGTGGATGCGAGTGAATGAATGAAGTCGAAGATGATAGTGAATAGTGCACTATGTGTGAGAGGCGAAAGTGTATGGCAGAGAAGTGAATATGGATTCGTACTAGGGCACAACGAGGAAGATGTGAAGTGAGAGTGAAAGTGTGTGTATGTATTAAAGGATATAGATATAGATATACATATATATATGGATCAGATCCAGAAATTTGGGCCAAGCCCATCACCAGTGCGGCCCAAGAGGAGTAGCTTGTTAACATATGAGCAGGCTACGTTGTTAGCACAAAAGGTACACTTTATACATTTTTGTTTTCTTGGAAACTAACATGCTAGTTTCTAGTTTCTAGAAATTTATGGATTTTTAAGATTAAATCTGTATGTATTTAATTCAGTTTCCACCAAATGCCTCGACTGGAGAAGTAAGCAGGCAGCTCCAGCCAAGGAAGAGGGTGAGCCCATAAACTCTGCTGTTAGTATTCTTCGTATATAACTTTTTGACTGTTTTTGATTGTTTGTGCAGATTGATTTTTACTTGTATTTCACCTCATTTCATTTGGTTGGCTTCTTTTTAGATTATTAACTAGCTTCAATATTTAAATTGCGTTTGCTTTTCATTTATAAAATTTTTATTGGCCACATTTTAGGGTTTTAAAATATACATATGTATTATGTATTTATTATTTATTTTTATTTTATTTTTTGGTCTGACTTTCGATGCCAATTTATTTTTTACTTTATTTTATTTTCTGATACCAAATAAATAATTTTATTTATTTATTTATTTTATAGTAGTCGGTGACAAGATATATTTTATTTATTATTAATTATGTTTGACGCCAATTCATCACCTACTATTTTTTTCCTAATAAGAAATGACACCACAATAGGTGATACAAAGTTATTTCTTTTATTTATGGTGAGGACAGTGGTATTTGGCACCACAACTCGGGCTCTTATTATTGTTATGTATTCTTTTTTATCTTCTACTAATAGTTCATATAGGAGTATGAACGATTTTCCAAAATATAATATATTGTAGACTTCAGGGCAACTCCAACCCACTGCATTTCCCACCCCCAAATTCCCCCCCATTTCCCACTTCATATTTGGAGTAACACTGTACACTCCACTCCATTTTTGGAGTGGAGTTTGTGTGGTATTTTGTGGTATTTGTATATTTTTGTTATTTTTTTGGGATATATTGTGTAATTATATTTTTTTGAAAAATTATGTATAATTTTATTTTTTGAAAAGTGATATAATTTTATTTTTTAAAAATAATGTATAATTTTATTTTTTTAAAAGTGATATATAATTTTACCTTTCGAAAAGTGTTATATAATTATATAGTTTTTTGAAAATAAAATTTAATTATATATATTTGGGTTATATTGTAAAAATAAATTAAAGTTGTGGTGTAATTTATAAATATAAAAAGTTATGTAAAATAATAAAACGTTATGTAAAATAATATAAAAGAGGATATATATGGAATATACTTTTTAGAGTAAATAATTGAAGTTTATGGTTGTAATAAAATTACTATAGATCAACTGCAATTTTTACTGTGCAACTGCAAAAATGAAGGAATGAGTTGGAGATGGTCTTATTAACTCATAAAATAATATTCTCTCTTTCAGTCAAATTTATTCTCACTTTTAATTTTCGTCATTCTGTTAAATTTACCATATTACTATATTTGAGAAAGTAAAAAAGTCAATTTAATTATTATGGTTTGTTCAACATTTATTTACCACAAATGCAACTAACTTTAATTATCAACTAAATTTTCAAAAATGTCCTTTTGTACCTTTATAGTTTTTCTATTTTTTAATAAAATATTTATTTTTCTTAATTTTTGTGCCAAGCCCAAATAGGCTAAATACGATGGATGGACGGAGAGAGAGTATAATGTATATACTTTATCTACTCACAAAATGTTAAAAATTTAATACAAAATATTATTTTTTATATTAAAAATACAATTCTTCGTATCTAAATGGTGAGAATATATGCAAATCATATAACGTATCTTTTTATATATTTTTATCCAATTAGTTAATAAAGGGTAAATTATTTTTTAGTCACTTGATTGAACTGTTTTATCGTTATAATCCATTGATTGAACTACTTTATCATTTTAGAGTCTGTTGCAAACTAATTTGGTAAGTGAAAATTATTAGCAGTTTTAGTGCTTCGGTGCTGGAGATACCTGAGTAGCACCCGCATGGCTCACCGGAGGCCACGCGTCCGCTAGTTTAGCTACACTTGGCGGACACTGGATTTTTTTTTCTTTTTTTTTTGTAATTTTTTAAAATTTATTTATTTTGTATTTGGTCCAAATAAAAAAAAAAAGACTATATAAATTTAGAAAAAAATCCGGGTGTGACTTGGCGGACACATGGCCTTCGGCGAGTTACACGGGTTCCCCGTAGTCATCTCCGACGCCGGATGAATAAAACTACAAACATTTTTTATTTATGAAACTAGTTTGCAACAGATTTCAATACAGAACTAAAATAATAAAATAACCCATTACAATTATGGAAATAAAAAACAGCTTATCATTTACTAAAATATGTTATTAAATTAGGTAACTACTGGTTGAAGTAGCACAGATTCTATAGCCTCCTTGGTCTTAATTTTGGAATTGGTGTATCCATCCCCATCCTTGTAGATAAGATGAATGACACGTGCTGAGTTAGCTATGGGTGTAAGTATCGGCAAGAAAGTCGGTGTCGGATAAAGACATTCTTGATTTATGTCCTTCCAAGCTGCCTTAACTTGTTTCTTAAGTTCATCAAATGCTTCCTCTTCTGTGGCGCCTTTCTCATTCATGTAGCATTCTACTGCTGATAGTTTCGTTTCAAACTGCACAAAAACACATTCATTTCTCACCATGTTGTTTATGTTCGAGAAAATTGCAAACATTCCTAATTATTACTTTTGTTTTTTTATTTATTATGTTGGCAAAATTTATATCCTATATGTTTTTAAAAATTGTTATTTCTGTTATCCGGCCGCGCGTCATGTTCACACAATAGCTGTTCCACGTGCGGTCATGCACGACTGGAGGACAAAAGTGACGATTTTTGCAAATGTGATAAATATATTTTTTCAACGAGATAAATAGAAAGACAAAAGTGATAATTGAGTACAGATTAACGATAGTTTTATACAATTTTTTCGTTTATGATCACTTTATCCATATATATTTGTAGGTTTAACACATGCTTAGATAAGAATTTAGATTCAATCTGAATGAAGTGAAATAGAAATAGAAACTTGTAATTAATACTGCATAATTTACCTCATAGCCAGCCATATCATCCATCAATCTAGCAATTAGCGACGTTGCACGAACTATCAATGCTTCGCTTGAAACCCAATGGATGTCTTCTTTCGAAACTAAACCTCCCATGCCAAGTAAGGATGTTACAGCCACCATCATATAGCCCGCAGATGGAACTCCAACCTTCATGTATTCTTCTAGTGTTGGAATTACACCCTTGAACAATCTTTCAGCCTCTTTAAAGTATGCTTGCACCAATTTTTTGATCTACAAGTGTTTATTTTTTTTATTATGTCCCAAAATTAGATCAGTCTCAACAAGTATAGTAATCAACTGTAGTTCTACACACAATATATATATACTTACCTCTTCTTTTGCATAGTTTGTAAATGTTGCACTATCTTCTACACTTACCAATTCTTCGATCTCTTGGTAGACATTTAAAAGTGCTTGATAACATGTTTTCATGTAGGGAGGTAGTTTCTCCATTGCAGTTGTATCCCACCTAAATAAAAGTTATATATTTCATTTATTGTTTCAGTCAAACTTCTCTAGTGTGCAAACTCAAACCTATGTTTATCATGTCCACATATATATAAGGACTTTGCTTATAATACATTTGTTTTGGAAAATCAGCCCCATACTCTATCGCGAGGCTTCCTCATATTTTAAAATACATTGCACAGAATTTCTTAAAAGTTGCATGAGATTCCACCATATTTTCGTAAAGATTGCAAAGAATCGCCTAAAAAACAGAGATTTTTGTATAATATTTTCGAAAACGTACACGAGGAAGTCTCACGTAAAATTTATAAGGAATAATGGTGCAGATGTTTTTAAACCATAAGTGAGTTATGGTGTATTTACCTTGTGATTGCTTCAGTGAACTCTTGGAGTTCATCCAATGTTCCATGGACATCATAAATATCATCGATGGTAGAAGCCAACATAATCACTTTGGACAATATAATCCTCCCAACCTGAAATTGGGGCTCAAAATACAGTCCCAAAATCCAAAAATAGCACTCTACCATCCTATCTCTTGCAAATGGTAATTTATTTTTAAAGTCTAAAGCTTTCCACCACCTACGCACAAAGTAAATTAAATCAGTAACTCAATATTTTTTAGTCGTCGATAATTAATTGCTAGGAGTACTTATGAATCCTTAACCTTGTAAGATCACTTATCTCTTTCTGGTGCATCTTCTGGAGAAGATTGAAGTCCAACTTTGCAAAGGCTAGAAGCAACTCATTACGACATTCATCTTGTTGATACATTCGAATGAACTTCATGGTGTGCAGTCGATTCAAACTCTTGTGGATTGGGGTTTCTATGGCTTCTTTGACTCGCGCAGCAAGAGGACTATTGCCAATCTTGGAGACTATGGACTCAAGATGAGATGATGCAAAGTCTTGTGCTAGGTCGAGGATTTCCTCTCCATGTATTCCATATTGCGCTGCTTCATACAAGCTCAGGATCCCTTGTACATTGTCTGCCAGTGAGTCATTAAATTTCCCTTCCTCGTTCATGAATACTTCCAACACATCTATTACATACACACACGTTAAGATATATATTTATAATATATATTGTATTTATAGTATTTGTAGGATTCTTAGTTTATTTAGACGATTTTTAACTATTATAAATATATACAAGTTTTTATGATTGAAATAGAAAATTTCAGTTTTATATTCCAACAATATATATATATATATATATATATGTGATCATGCTGATTAAAGCTCGTCCTTTGTAAATATAAAACTTTTATTCTTACCGGATGAGATCTTGTGTCCTTGTTGGCGGAGTAAGCGGAAGCAAAGAGAAATGGCATAAACATCATTGTTGTAGCCTTGTATGTAACTCTCATAGACAATCTTTAAGGATTCATCAATGTCTTTCTCGAAATGGTAGGCCACTCCCAGGCGTTGTAGTGCATCAATGAGCTCTAGTTTCTGCAGTGTATCGTTTGGTGTTGCAGCCAATAGTTTCTTCACTTCCTCCTTCAGTTTCTGAAGCTCCTCCTCTTCGTTGCCGCTTGAACTCTCCTGCTCAATGTGTATGTATAATTTGTTAAGGTAAGAGCCATTAAAATGAATCAACATGTGACACAGCTTGAAAATAACAGCTATATATATTACCACATGAGTATTAGGACCGTATGATAGAAACTTGTCTCCCCAAATGGTTGGGTGATATGTGACAGATCGACGAACATTCTCCAAATTATGAACTGCTAATGCATGCATTTCCATGTATCTTTAGATTTTTTTGGATATGTTTCTTCTCTCTTTCTTGTGTATTTTTGGGTTTATATAAAGAAGTGGTTTTGTTTGGGAATGTTTTTAGGGTCTTTATGTGTGTTTGTTTGGACGGCTTTTTGATTTAGGTCTTACTATCTCAAAATATATTTTTTCTTTCAAACAATATCAAATCAAATGGAGTATTATTTTTTATTTATTCTACTCTATTAAAATTTAAATTTATATTCAAAATATGACCATCAAACTGTTTTAATTCAAAATTTTAATATTCAAAACTCAAACTATAAAACATAACCCTACAAATAATGATCATTTACAGTAAAAAAAAATTCAAATATAAAAATTAAATCCATACTGAAAAGAAACAAATAAAGATTGAATTGAAAATTTTTATACCCCTTCGTTTCGGTGCAAAGTTGTCATTTTATTTTTGCGTTATTGCACTTGATATTTAAAAATATCGTTATATTTGAATAATTTATTTTACAACTGTTATTTTATTTGTATTATTTGACACTAATAAATATATTTTTGTTTTTTTTTCTCTTCATTTATACGGTATTGATATAATAATTAATATTTAAATATCAATATTTAAAAAGCTAATAGCAACCTTCTTGGCAGATGGAGGGTGTATAATATTTAAATTTACATTTAACATTGAAGTTATTGTTGCTAAACAGGAGAAGAATAAATAATACTTCCTCTGTCATGGATATTTTGTCCGCTTTACTATAAACATGAGAATTTAGGAGAGTTATAATTAGTAGATAATTAAAAATGTATTAGTGAAAATAATTATCATATAATAAAAATAATTATAGATTAACATTTAAGACAAGTGATTAATATAATTAAAATTAAAAAAAGTATAAATTATATTTTTTAAAATAAGATTAAAGTGTATAATTTTTTTTTAAAAAGTGACAAAAATAAATGAGATGGATGAAAATGGAAAAGTGAACATGAAAAGTGGGATGGAGGGAATAATAAAAACCTCCTACCAGCCAAATTTGTATTTGAATTTTCTCAGTTTTTAATCACTGTGAATGTTTTAGAAATGTTTAAAACGACAGCTTAAAGATAATAGGAAGGAAAAGGACCATTCATATAGCTTTCAACCCACTTTTGATTGATAGACGTTTCAATCACCGTGTACCACGTGCAAAATATGTATATTATAAAATTACAAAAATATAAATATAAATATATTTATATTTGTATTGTTACAATATTCAATATAAAACTATTTAAATATATAAGTTTTAATTATTATATTGTAATAATTATTTAACTTTATTAATCATAATAAATGTGTCAAATGTTTTTAAATAATTTATAATAAAATATTTATACTGTGTATATAATATTCTATTTATATTTATATTTATATAAAATGGTTAAGTTATTTATATAAATTTTATATTCATGTGTTGCATGATAGATGTAAATATTTAAAATTATATAATTTAAATAATTTATTATAATAAAAATTATTTCGTAGAAATATATAAATATTGTCAAACCAATAAAATATTAATATAAATATGATTATATGATGATTTTTTTAATTGCCGTTTCTTATGAAATTTTTGTAGTATAAATATATAATTACATTTTAGGGAAGATTGAATCTACTCACATGCTTATAATCTAGTATTTTTCTGTATCAATGTTTAAAAGATAGGCTAGCATATTAAAATAGGGAAACACAAAATTATATATATACATATATAAAACACATATATATGAGAACCTATACGGATACGGATACTACCTATTATTACTCAAATGTCCTTAATAATGTAATATTTGTTATTTTGAGCAGTTGTACGAAGTGGTAATTATTGTAGACAAATATGACTAAATTTGTCATTAACTCCTTTGTTGTCAGTTATACTGAGGATATTGGGTGTTGTTGAGGTTTGTGTTTTTCCAATTCCATTTGTTATTTTGTAGTGATTTACTTGTAGAAAATATATTGATATAGATATCATTTTGTAGATCGTAACATTTACTTTAATACAATAACTTAGTTACAAGATTTTAATGCTATGATATATTAAGAAATGCATTTGAAACTAATGCAGGGTTTTTGAGTTTGTTGAGCACGCAAAACAAAAATATTTGAGTCCGACTAGACGGTTGATCAATATTATATATCATTTTGTACAAGAATTAAATATTTAATTTATCTAAAATTAAATATTTAAATAATACATAAATAATGTCTAAAAATATAATTTAAGTAAAACATCAATTAATTTATTTTATACACTAAAATAATTACAAAATATACTTACAAAATTAATAACTTAATATTGCAAGAATTAATGGAAACAGCCGGGAAAAGTAGGAATTAATGGTAGCAGTTGGGAGAAAGCAGAAGTAAATGTAAGAGGGGAAGTCTGGCGGATTTAATGCAGCTGACCAACCGTCGCTTGAATTCCGCACAGCACCCGACTAGCCGTCGATTGAATTCTGCACAGCAGCCGACTAGCCGTCGCTTGAATTCCGCACAGCAGGTTGGCCATCGCTTGAATTCCGCATCTTAGCCGACTTTGCTTACTTCTATGCGGAAGTTTCTGTGCTGAGTAAATGCAGCTGACAAGCTATAAATGCATCCGCGGGTTTTTGTGTGTTGTCGTAAAAAAATCGCCACCGACGGCTTAATCGGAAAAGCCAGTCGGAATTGATTTAATCGAAGGGTTCCCCGGCCTCCTCAAGAAAGGATCCGAGCTATCTCGCGATAACCGAAAAATTAACGATAGAAAAAAGGCAAAATTGGACTGAATGCTGAAAAAATTAAATTGAAATTAACATGAGAAAACTGTAGAAGTCTGAAAATAATGCAGGAAATTAAAATTGCAGAGGAAACAATTAATGCAGAAGAAGATGAATTCATGATTATAAGATTATACTTTGTGTTATGAAGTTCTAATTACAGTGCTTTTCATATATGTTAAATAGTGCTTTAAGGGAATACAGTTAGTGCTTTTGTTTCATGATTGTCTTTTCTTTTTATATTATAGAACTTTATGGATTATACTTTGTGCTCTTTAGTTCTAATTACAGTGCTTTCCGTATTTGTTTTATAATGCTTTAAGAGAATATATTTAGCGCTTTTGTTTCTTTACTGTTTTTCCTTTATAATATTAACAAAGCACTTTATAAGATTATACTTTGTACTCTAGAGTTCTAATTACAGTGCTTTTCGTATATGTTAAATAGTGCTTTAAGGGAATAAAGTTAGTACTTTTGTTTCTTGACTGCCTTTTCTTTTTATAATGTAGCACTCTATTGGATTATACTGTGCTCAATAGTTCTAATTAAAGTACATTTTGTATTTTTTTTATAAGGCTTTAAGGAAATATATTTAGCGTTTTTGTTTCTTCATTGTTTTTCCTTTATATTATAAAGAACTTTATAAGATTATACTTTGTGTTCTAAAATTCTAATTAGAGTGCTTTTCGTATATGTTAAATAGTGCTTTAAGGCAATATAGTTAGTGCTTTTGTTCTTGATTGCCTTTTCTTTTTATAATATAGCACTTTATGGGATTATAGTTTGTGAACTATAGTTCTAATTACAGTACTTTCTGTATTTGTTTTATACGGCTTTAACGGAATAAAGTTAGCGCTATTGTTTTTTCACAGTTTTTCCTTTCTAGTATAAAGCACTTTATAAGATTATACTTTGTGCTCTAGAGTTCTAATTACAGTGTTTTTCGTATATGTTAAAGAGTGCTTTAAGGGAATACAATTAGTGCTTTTGTTTCATGATTGCCTTTCCTTTTTATAATATAATACTTTATGGGATTATACTTTGTGATCTATAAATCTAATTAAAGTGTTTTCTGTATTTGTTTACTAATGCATTAAGGGAATCTATTTTGCGCTTTTGTTTCTTCACTGTTTTTCCTCTATATTATAAAGCACTTTATAAGATTATACTTTTTTTTTTTTTTTTTTCTGAAGTTCTAATTACAGTGCTTTCGTAAATGTTAAATAGTGCTTTAAAGGAATAAAGTTAGTGTTTTTGTTTCATGATTGCCTTTTCTTTTTATAATATAGCACTTTATGAGATTATACTTTGTGATCTATATTTCTAATTACAGGGCTTTCTGTATTTGTTTTCTAATGCTTTAAGGGAATATATCTAGCGCTTTTGTTTCTTCACTGTTTTTCCTCTATATTAGAAAGCATTTTATAAGATTATAGTTTGTGCTCTAGAGTTCTGACTACAATGCTTTTTGTATATGTTAAATAGTACTTTAAGGGAATAATGTTAGCGCTTTTGTTTCTTAACTGCCTTTTCTTTTTATAATATAGCACTTTATGGTATCATACTTTGTACTCAATAGTTCTAATTATATTGCTTTCCGTATTTGTTTTAAAATGCATTAGAATATATATAGCGCTTTTGGTTCTTTACTATTTTTCCTTTATAATATTAACAAAGCACTTTATAAGATTATACTTTGTGTTCTAGAGTTCTAATTACAGTGTTTTTCATATAAGTTAAATAGTGCTTTAAGGGAATACAGTTATTGCTTTTATTTCTTTATTCCCTTTTCTTTTTTATAATATAGCACTTTATGGTACTATACTTTGTGCTATATAGTTCTAATTACAGTTCTTTCCGTATTTGTTTTATAATGCTTTGAGGGAATATATTTAGCGCTTTTGTTACTTCACTATTTTTCCTTAATAATAGAAAGCACTTTATAAGATTATACTTTTTACTCTAGAGTTTTAGCTACAGTGCTTTTCGTATATGTTAAGTAGTTCTTTAAGGGAATAAAGCTAGTTATTTTGTTTCTTAACTGCCTTTTCTTTTTATAATATAGCACTTTATGAGATTATACTTTGTGATCTATAATTCTAATTACTGTGCTTTTTGTATTTGTATTGTCATGCTTTAAGGGAATATATTTAACGCTTTAGTTTCTTTACTATTTTTCCTTTATAATATTAACAAAACACTTTATAAGATTATACTTTGTGCTCTAGAGGTCTAATTATAGTGCTTTTTGTATATGTTAAATA